AATCAAGTGTGTGAATAGTGTAATTAATGGACAATAAATAAAGCAATCAATAATAATAATGTAAATATTTAGTCAACACACAGATATATAGTGGTTCAGTCCGGGTAACCTACTCCACTTTGGGAAACAACAACGATAGTGAGAGAATTTTTATTGATGAATAAAGTAAGAGAGAGAAAACTCTGAAAGGTACAATAATTATGTGTGTGTAGAGATGTATATATAGAGAGGTCAATTTGTTCTCTCATGTAGAGAGGACTTACAATTTATAAACATAATAAGACGGTGACGTGAGGGTAAATGCACAAATTTTTTGAAGAGAATAACTACAAAAAGTAAGTACACTTAAAATAGTTTTAATCTTCAAGAGTGGGTATCCCGATGATCACTCTCCACATGCTCTAATCTTGATAGACTCCTCAGAACTTGGACTGGGTTGAATTCTCGAACTGAGCTTGATCTATTTTATGTCTAATTTGGGCTCCATTGATTGATTGAGCCTAACCCAGTAAAAATTGAACTCGTTAAGTATATATATTTTTAACAACTAAAAATATGGATGATTTACCACTATTGTTGTTATTTTTGCTACTATTGTTATAATTATTTTTATTAATTTTTTCAGTTCAAAAAAATTATTATTTTTGTAAAAAAACTTATTATATTTGTAAAAAAAATTATTACGGTACCGAATATTTTTTTTGTAGGTATCATAGACAACTCCAAAAAATAAACAACTGTTCTCAGTTTCAGCATATAGTGACGATAGTTTGCTACAGTGGAGGGGTCCAGTTTAATTTATTTACTGCCGTACAAGAATGAGTATGGTTTGTTGTCAGCAAAAACAAAATCTATAGGCGAATCCTTGTGGGGTAAGCTTTGTAGGCTGCCGTGGACGATTTTGATTGGGAGCCATAATTTTTGATTCAACACGACCCCAACACGCAACACAACACACAAATTTAAGTAAATGAACTTGATTATAATTTGATATAAATTTAAAAATAATTTGACACGAATTTGGTATAACACAACTTAATTGTCGCTCTTAATTTGGATTGCAAATTTAAACTTTTTCTAATATCCCCGATGGGTTGATCGAGTGGATAAAAAGTCGGATTTTTTTCACTTAATATTTAAATTTACATTTTTATAGTTATGAAAACTTGATGAGCTTAAATCTTGAATATGTGGTGGAACCTTACCTTACAATTTCGATGTAAATATGATTTTTATAGATAATTATATCGTTACACTCGTTAATAGATTTGTAGAGTTACCTATCTCTATATCCATTTTGTGCATAAAAAAACAAAAAAAAAAAAACTTTCCTAATAAACAACAAAAATGCATGAAAATAATCATGAATAACATAAAATAGTTATAACTTCACCCCTAAAATGTATAACTTAAATGTTAAAAATTCTTTTAAAAAACATTAAAAATAAAAATTTTATTATGGACCACAATATTTTATGATGGATCATATAATTAGAATTTAGACCCTTAAATAATTATAATTTGACTTTAAGAAATTATATAACTTTCCATATGATATTTCTGTAGGTACTATAATCATTGTCATAAACAATTACCTCACGCAAGACTTGTATTGTGGTTGAATAAAGGGTGAAATTAAAATTTGCATAAAATTGACCCAAATTAGAAGATTTTGATGTATTCTCAATAGAGTTTAAACGATAAATGAGTGAATCGTGAAACACAATTTATACATTATATGAATTCAACACAAAACAAACTTGACTATACACAAATAAAACATGTTAAAGTTGGATTGAACCAAAATGAACTAGACACAAATCGCGACACAACTCATTACCAGCTTTAGTACTTATTTGTTGGTGTTTTTTTTGTAGCATGCCTAGTTATTTTTGTCAAGCGTTATCACAGGGAATGGATGGCGCATCTCACCATTTTTTACTAGTTCACATAAGAAATTCTTTTTTTTATCGCTTGCTCTTGCTTTTCATTCTCAAAATAAGGGTCTCTCTTTTATTTGAACCCGATTTTAATGCTCCGTTTGGTAGGAAGGATAAAAAATATGAGAGATGAAAAGTATAATAGATACACTTTCTATATTTCAAAGAAAAAAAATAAGAATTATACACTTTCTTTTCTTTGTATTTTGTAAGATAGATGAAAAATAAAAATGGTTAATTGCAAGTTGCATCTCGAAAGATAGTGAGAATCTCAATTTGCACTCTCAAAGATATAAATTTGTATCAATGTGCACCCCCAAAGATAGAAATTTCAATTTGCACCCTCAAAGATAAAAATTTGTATCAATGTGCATCTAAAACTAAATTGATAAATTATACATAGATCCATTCATACTTGTCATTTAATCATTTAAACCCCTTCACATTTAGAATATTACTCATACATCTCATGATGTTTGTACACCTGTAACATGTAATCCATTTTCATTGATATTTGTTAATATAACCGTTAAAAAATATGATTTTATCCTAATAAAAAATTATAATTTCATATTACCCTTTATTTTGTGGGTTCGATATACTCTAAAGTTTAAAATCAAGTTTATCATTAGACATTATAATTTTTTTTAGGATAAAATTATATTTTTTAACTGTTATATTAACAGATATCAATGAAAAGGAGTTACGTGTTACACGTGCACAAACGGTTACGAGATGTAGGAGTAATATTCTAAATGTGAAGGGATCCAAATGATTAAGTGACAAACATAAAAAAATCTAGGTATAATTTATCAATTTAGTTTTAGGTGTATATTGATACAAATTTCTATTTTTGAGGGTGTAAATTGAGATTTTTATCTTTGGGAGTGCACATTGATACAAATTTCTATCTTTGAGAGTGTAAATTGAGATTTTTTATCTTTAGGGGCGTCAATTAAATTTTAGGGGCGTCAATTAAATTTTTAGGGGCGTTAATTAAAATTCCAACTATCTTTCAGGGTGCAACTTGCAATTAACCAAAATAAAAAGGATTAAATTTTTTATGTGTTTGGTAGGATGGTAAAAATATTTTTAAATTTTAAATTTTAATTTTTTTAAAAAAAATATATAAATACATATTTATCATTGTATTTTTATATGAAATTAATGTATACATATATATATATATATATCAAAGGTTATATAGATAAATAAGATACATTTCAATACAAATAATTAATGTTTTAATTTTTGAGAGATTGATTTCGGTGAGTTGGAAGGAAATCTCATCTATCCACTTTTCTATCTTTCCTATTTTTCTTCCTTACCAAATAACATGTTTTATCTATTTTTCATCGTTCTAATTTTTTGTCATTCTATTTTTCTTATCATATTAAACGGAGCATAAAGTCCAACAACAAAACAATAACGGTAATCATTAACCAATTTTAACCTCTTTAGATGAAGCCTTACAAGTATAGAGAGACCCTTGTCGGTTCACCCAGGATTTAGGTACATTAATGTTTGAGAAATGCCATACGTTGCACAATCTCCATTATCAGATAAGTGGTTCTCATTAATTTTAAACGATGGAGATTATGCCACGTTATTTAGAATGAGAAATTTGGTAAAAATATTTGATAAGTATAACATTGTTGTGAATGTTTTTTGGATTCCTCATGTGTGTCCTATGTTAAGACTTAGGTCTTTTCCATTTTTTTTGAGGTCCTTGAAAACAGGAAAAATAAAGTAGACAGTCTATAACTTTGGAAACTAAGGATACGACAATGTACAAATATTCTTGCTCTCGAAATTGATAATGTCACTTTGATCATTACTGTAACCATGAATCCTATGTTCTCCCATTGCAAGTTTACAAATTCTTTCCCAATTTATATATTTACAAGTTTTTTTTTTTTTGAAGATTATTTACAAGTTCAATAGATAAAAGGGCTATTAAAATTTGATTGAGTCGTGGTTCCGGGACTTAGATGTGTTTTAATCGCTTGGTGAAACATTTGATTTTACGAATTGGAGACCTATAGCAAAGCTTCTCAATCTCTTTTAAAGTATCTTAATATGCATGTAAGGAGAGTATTATAATAATTTAACAGAGCTGATTAAAGTTTAAACTCGATTTGGTAACGTAGTTGTTCTTATCACATCATTATTAATGAACAATTTCATATGTCAAAAGCTTTACTATTAGATGAATCCTATGTAAGTTTAAAATTAGTTAATTTTGTGAGTAGGATCTCTTTGTACATCAATAAATGTGTAGGATGAAAGCATATCATTTAATGGTATCGTTATGTTACCTTGGAACATACATGAGAATTATTTTCTTTTTTTTATTCAAAATAGTTAAGATTGTTCAAACTAATTTATACGTAGTTCGATTAATTCTCTCCATAGTTCAGTCTAAGACAATGTCATTTACATCAGGATTAAAGTATTCATGATGAATAAATCTTTTATGGTCTGATTCCAAAAAACTATCAAGATTTAAAGTAAGAACATCTAAATTTATAATTTATCCATATTATTTTTAAGCTTTTGTTAAGTAATTATATCATAATAAGCTCTAAAAAAAAATATGAAACAACAGACAAGTCATAGCTTGATGATGGCAAAAATGGATAAAATGCTTGTCATTGAGGACTTAAAGAGAGTTTGGAGACTCCATGAAAGTTTGACTGACCCCACTTTGAAAATGTGGGGTCCGTGGTGGGTGGCAGATTTGTAAATGTGTGAAGAGGTAGGGGTGAATACATAATCCGAAGTACAAATTTCAAAACGAGGGCTTATCGTCGATTCAGGTGGGGAGCGTAACAGAGGGGCTAACTAAGAAGTGTTGTTTGCCAACTCTGCACATATGCATAGTCAGAGAGAGAGAGAGAGAGAGAGAGAGAGAGAGCATTTATTTGTTCTCTCTCTCTTTTTCTCCAACTTTTTTTTTCCTGCTTTCTATATGTGCTTTACTTTGTTCCCAGTTCTTCTTCCTCTCCATATATTCCGATTCTCTTATTCTCTTATTCTCTATCTCTTTTTTTTGAGTGCTGGGAAGCTCTCAAAGCTTCACCAATGGCAGACATTACACACCTTCCCATGGAACAGCTCCAAGACCTTGAATACTGCATAGATTCCAATCCTCCATGGGGTCTCTCTCTCTCTCTCACTCTCTCTATCTCCTTATCTATCTGTCTAAGTGTTATAGATATTTGTAAGGATGTCATGGATGTATGTATGTACTTGCATGCGTATGTATGTGCCAAAGACATTCAGGGAGAGAAATGGTATGTGGGTTTGAGGTAGAAGTGTAGTAGCTTCATTAACTGATACCTCTTGGTTAGATAGAAGCTGAGGCATTGTGGCACTACATTAATCTTAATGAAGTTATATTTTCTCTTTTTGTCTTAAGTTTTCTTGTTTCTTTCTTTGAAAGATGACATATATGAAATGTATTGATTCAGTACTGTGGTTGGTCCCCAAGTGGGAAAACAGAAAGTATAAGATAATGCCGTGACTTTTTTGTTTTACTTTGGATTGATAGTTAGAAGGCTTAAGTTTTGAACCTTTCTCTTTCTTGGGCTGGTGGGACTCGCTTTCTTATATTCAATTTTGACACTGTGCTGATAAGCCATAGGAAAAAAGGAGTGTTTCAGTTGTCCCTTGTTATGGGACGGGGTTGAAGTGCTTGAAAATACACAGTTCTCTTTTGCATTTACTAAGGCTTTTGGTGACCCGGGGAAGTGTGGAAAAAAGAAAAGGAAGTCTCTGAATATCATGGCTGGTTGAGATTGAAGTGGCTGTTGGATTATAAGAGAGCTTCTTTCAGTAGGATTTCTTATCGATCAAACAGGGCATTAGCGGGCATTTTTGGGTCTTTGAGGTTTAATGCTAGTTGTTTGTATCTAACATTTTCCTTAGAGGTCTCGGGGTCTTTGAAGTTTAATGCTTCTTGTTTGTATCTAGCCTTTTACTTCTCGGCAAGCCCTCTAATTTTAGTTGGGCGACACTTATAATGATAGACTTCTGTGGTTAGCATTTCAACAGCTTGTGACTATCTATATAGAGCAGTATCGAGCATAATTTCATTTTCATTTGCAGTTTTTGCATTAATTTATACTAGATTGTACTTGGCAACTGTTAATGGTGCCTTCCCCTTTTGCTTTTATGGAAAGATCATTGGTCGTCAACTACGGCCCTTAACTAGAGGAAAAAAGTGATTTGAGAGATTTTCAACAAATATTGTTTCCTTAGAGGGATGTGGTTCGAATGATTGAAGTATGCATGGCTACGTGATGGAAAGATGGCATGGGAACGTAATTGAACGTTAATTAATCAAATCTTTATCTGCTGGAGAATTCTTTGGTCTCCTAGATTTGATGCTTGCTGAGAGTTTTTTGGAAGTAATTGCGGGAACCTTCCATTGTGTAATGGCTTTTTATAATATCTTTCGGCCATCAGGCGGTGTTCTTCTCCTTTAGCTTTTGGGATGATCTTTGATGAGAATCTCTTAAGATTTACAATCCATAATATATTGAAGTATTTATGAGATCACTGCAATATTATCATGCTTCATGCAGGCTTTACACCAAATAGCTGCTATGATATACTTTGAACTGTAAAAAACATCAATAGATTCCCAAATTTCATTGCATTCACATAGATGGTAATGACTAATACCCATGCTTTTTATGTCCATCCATACCATTTTGGTACACAAAAGAATGAAGGATTAATTTTTATCTTCTACTAAAATAAACTGAGTGACTCAAATGATTATTATACTGGAATAATCAGTTGAAAACAAGAGATTGCTGTTCGAATATGGTGACCATCTGAAATTTTTGTCTAGTCATGGTTACAATCCGGTGGTTGATTGTTGCGTCTCAATTTGTTTGCATGGTATCATATCTTCTATTTATTTATTCTTTGGGTGTTTTGGCCACTCTAGTGGAAGAATTGGAAGCATGTTTATGAAGGCTCCCATCCTTTTGAATTAAAGGTCTAGGTCTGCAATTAATTAGGTAGATTATGTTGGTAAATCTACGGTTTTTAACACTTGTGCTGCTGCAGATGCTTTTTCTTCCGTAGCTTATCTCTTTTCCAGGTGAAGTGACATGACTACTTACATGATATTTTAAATTGGTGTGCCTATAATCTAGAATCATGCGAAGTTAGAGGATAAATGTAGATACTACATAGAAATGCCAACAAGAGGTGGCATCGTTTCGCAGCTGAATCTTCCTGTGTAGTTTGATTGTCATTTTGTTGGAAGTTGGAAACCATCAGCACTTATTTTGTACTCTCTTTCCTTTTTAATATTGAAAAATGAATATCTTTATAATTTTAGAGAATTTGTGTACTTTGGAATTTGGTTTAAAGTAAGATTGTACCCCAGGATGATATACACACATTAGAATCTGTTTGCAGGGAAAGTGTTCAATTTATCGCTTTTTCTTGATTTATGACTAAGTTTTCTCCTGCAGCTGAAACCATCTTCCTGGCATTTCAAAACTACATATTAATGTTGGGAACAAGTGTCATGATCCCCACAGCACTCGTTCCATTAATGGGTGGATCTGATGTAAGCAATATTTCTCTATAGTTTTTATTTTTATTTTTTATATATAGTTTTAATTTGGGTCCAAAGGCCACAATAGACTGCACTACTCCGTGCGGACTTTACTGGTATAAATAGCTCGCAACTTATGTTTTGTGTTTTAATATCCTCTCTTCTTCGTTGATCCCCATATTACCATAAGTATTTGCCATGACCACATTTCCAGTCCTCTGACTTTACCTTTCCAACCTAGTAAGGACATGCAAAAACTTAACTCTCATTGTACGTAAAAGATTTCCTAGGGCATAACACCACTTTTTGAAATGTTTATTTTCTCTTAAGTACCTATTTGGATATTTGGCTTGTTGATTAGATGTCTACCATACAAGTAGAAGCACTGGTTGATTGGATATCTACCATATTTGAGGATTGACCTAAAATACAATTATTATCTTAAATTTAGCTTTTTTGTTCTTTCATAAACAATAATTTGTATTTTCTTTTTGCACAACCAGGGAGACAAGGCACAAGTGATACAAACGTTGCTATTTGTAGCTGGCATTAATACACTTCTCCAGGCACTCTTTGGAACCAGGTTACCGGCCATTGTTGGAGGCTCCTTTGCTTATGTAATCCCCATCCTCTACATTATTAGCGATTCATCTCTGCAACGAATTACTGAGCCTCATGCCGTAAGTTCTCATCCTTTCCAGTTTCCAACCCCTTTCTAAACGGGGTATGAGGGAAGCACTACAAAGTATATTGATTCTGGTTCTACTTGCTGCATTTAGATTATGATGGCTTGTGTACCTATAGTAATCATGCACAATTTCATGCTACACGCATTGATTACGTTGTTCCACCCTTTGCAACATGATGAATTATAGTATTTGCCACCTCTCTCTTAACATCATGAAATGACTTCATCTCAAGTCTTGATATGCACATTTGAAATAAAACTATTTTGGTCAACTTATTGCTTAGATCATAGGTTTGGCATACACATCAGAAGTATTAGAAATCAATTGAAAATGGTTATATCTATGAGGTCTTATATTAAAATCATGAGATATATTCTTGTAGTCCTTCTATCATGTATGAAGTTTTAAAAACCAATACATCCTTGTAGTCGCATAGCTCCACATGTTTATGCCTAGACAACTCCTGACTGGGAAATTTTCATTACATGTCAACAACCCTGATAAACAAGCCTAAAATAAATCATTATTTTGAGCAAGACTTCTTTCATTTTGCACCTTTTTTCCCAAACCAGAAGAAGATTCTAATGTTTTATTTTTTTCTGTTATCCTTTTTCCTTTCAACTGAAGAATTTTCAGTTTTTGGCCCTTCGGCTGATATCTGATTTGTGTTTCTCCTCTTTGGGGTATCTGTTTCTATATTATATTCCCTTCTCAAACTTGTAGCTTTCTTGTGTTGTCGTTATTTCAAGGATCTTAATGTGTAAGTGGTTTGCAGAGATTTATAGAAACAATGCGAGCTATCCAAGGAGCTTTGATTGTTGCTGCAAGTATACAGATCATCCTGGGGTACAGCCAAGTTTGGGGCCTCTTTTCCCGGTATAATTTTAGCATCCCATCATTTGTTGAGGCAATCAAACTCATGTTTTCATAAATGGTTGGTATGATCATTGATGGTCTTCTAAACAGGTTTTTCAGCCCTCTAGGTATGGCTCCTGTGGTTGGATTGGTTGGGTTGGGACTATTTCAGCGAGGATTTCCTGCGGTAGGCTTTGCAATTTGCTTGTAATTTGCATACATGGTGCATATGCAGTTGACTGTAGGATGAGTCCTTTCATTTGATTAAGTGAGCCCATTTGAGGGAAGTTGCCTGCTCAGCTAAGTAGCCAAGGTAGTGTTGGTCCATTGTTATTTGCACGTCAAGGGTTCGAGTCAGTGAAAGTGTCTCCGGTGCGAGTCACTAAAACAGTGTCTCTGCATGTGGGCGTAAGGCTGCATACATCTCATACATCTAATCCTCTTCAGGCTGTAGTGGCGAGACCCTAGTGCATTGGGTCACCCTATATCTTCTTCAGAACTTCGTGTAATTGTCATTCTCTAATTTCCTACATTTCAATCAAGTTTGGGAGAAGTTCCAAAGTTCTATGTCTCTTCAACGTGACCTGAGAAACCACTCAATTTGCCATTCAGAATATAAAGTAATGCTAGAATTACTTCGATGGTATATCCCTTGTGTCTTAAGATGCACGGCACACATTTTCAGATGGAACTTCGATGGTTTTGCTTTAAAGATGGGGTAAATACTTTAGTTATGAGAAGGTTTAAGCCGAACAAACCTCGTGGGGCATAGGAAGTTGAAAATGAGATTGCGTTTACACAGGGACTGTGATTGAATCCTCATACAATAGTCGTTTAACTTACTAACCTTAATCAAGCGGCATAGCATCCGAGCACATATTGTTGTGTTCCTAATCTCTATTATGACTTTGTGAATTTGTTGCTGCAATTGTATTTTAGCTAGGGAATTGCGTAGAAATCGGGATACCAATGCTACTGTTGGTTGTTGGATTGTCGCAAGTAAGATCTTATTTCAAAATCATTAGAGTTATGCCTCATTCAGTGTAATTATCTCTTACCTTCACGCCAATAACAGCTTCCTAATTGCAGTATCTAAAGCATGTGAGACCACTGAGGGATTTCCCCATTTTCGAACGGTTTCCTGTATTGATATGCGTCACAATCATTTGGATCTATTCCCTACTACTGACAGCTAGTGGGGCCTACAGACACACACCCATTCACACACAAGTCAGTTGTCGTACAGACAGAGCGAATCTCATATCAACTGCTCCATGGTCGGTAATATGATTAGTATTTGTTTCTCCTGAATTGTGCTTTGTTTGTATAAATCTGAAATTTAATGTGATTTCTTGTTTCAGGTTCAAGTTTCCGTACCCTCTGCAGTGGGGCCCACCTACTTTTGATGCTGGTCATTCATTTGCCATGATGTCTGCAGTTCTTGTGTCAATGATTGAGGTATTATTTTGTTGTGTGGCTCTCAATCTTATGTTGGTTACTTGTTTTTAATTGCCTCCTTAACATGCCGTTGAAAAATCTGACATTGGAAATTATTCTTAGCAAACTTGAAATGCTTGCACCAAAACAATCTGATGGCACAAGTCTTTTAGTCGACTTATTGCACTGTAACATTGGATTAATGTCTGAAAACAAGTATCTTCCAAGTTCCAAGTAACCTTGAAGCTGCTTCTATGTAATCTACTTGATTGGATTTTGAGTTTATCATTAGGGTACTGCTTAGAACATTTGACCTGTAGCTGTTTAGTAGGTTGGTTATTTATTTCACGAAGGCCACATTTTATGTGCGACTGTAAAATATATTAAAATCAGGAAATATTCAGAATTGCATGTCCTTTTCAAGATGCATGCCCTACTGCAGTCATTGTTTGTTTAACCTGGCTCGTCGGAGAGAATGTATACAGCCAACAAATTATGTCTTATGGAAGTAGCTTTTTAGCTCCATTTACTTCTGGCAGTAAGATAACTCATATGCTCACTTTATTTGGCCTCCTATAAGTTTAAGCTAAACATGCACAAACTTCCTTACTATGGCGATACAAAACAACCTTGGTTTAGCAGTGTTTTGTGCAGTAATGTAGTTGTGTTACAATGTTGAAGTATGTATGACCTACTGCTTGGTTACAAAGTTATACTTTTGTAAAAAATAAAATAATTGTGATGTGTACATTTATATGGCGCAGTCAACTGGTGCTTACATAGCTGCATCTCGGTTGGCAATTGCCACTCCACCTCCTGCCTATGTATTGAGCCGGGGCATTGGCTGGCAGGTGAGCTAATTGGACACTTGTTTCATTTTTATTATCTCTTGAGCATGTAGTTGTTACTGGAATGTGTAAGTCAAATGTTCTTAAAGCTTCTATGAAGATGAACCAGAACTCTATCTAAATTGGGAGGATGACTTTTTGTATTGATGCAAAAAAGAGATGTAGAACTTTTGTTTCTAGATTTGCAAGACATGATAAAACTCAAACTACATTAGTAGTAGTAGCAGTACTAGTAATTGTAGCAGTCTATATAAGATTTGTGCCATATTCTTTTCCTTATTTGACTTCTTTGTTTCCAAAAACAGATGCAGAGGCAGCAAAGCAAGTATTATCAACATAAGAAACCAATAAATCCTCTGCCTGTGACAGATATGATGTAGCTGAATGCAAAGAAATAAAATCATATCGAAGTATGTTATGTTAAATGGGGTTCAAATATGTTAATAAACCATTTACTCCAAAAGTTTAAACTGTTGGAGAGAGTGTAACTAAAGTATTTTTACGTCAACACCCCCCTCACGTGAAGGTTAGATTTTTGGCCTAGTACATGGAAATCTTTTAATAATTTGGGTGGTTATTAGGGTGGCCACGATATTCGAATGCAAGACCTCTTGTTCTGATACTATATTAAACAACTATCTACTCCAAAAGTTTAAATTGTTGGAGAAGGTGTAACTTAGGTATTTATACTTTAACAAAATATGTACTAGCATGTGAGAATGGAGGTATGGGAGGGGTAGATTGGGTACAGACCTAACATTTGACATTATTTGCAAATGAGGGTAGCCATTTTTGTGCAAATAATGTCAAAGGTTAGGTCTGTATCCAAACTACAACTGCCAGACCGCCATTACTGCAAACTAAATTAGATGTTAATTTATTCACAAGTAGAAAATAGCATGCCAACATGCTGGTACATATTTGAATCAGTCATCAATATTCTATCTTTTGCAGTCGGATGATATATCGAGGCAGCGCCTAATGGTGGTGTGCTCAGTCTTGGCTTGGGTTAGTGTTTGTGCTCAAGCTCTGCTTGGGACATGGAACTAGTTACTTGGCTTGAAATGTAGGCTCGTTTCTGTTTATTATGAAAACTGATTTGTCCATTGAATATTGTTATGCAAAACTACCAGTTTCCACTGTATAGCTGACATTACAGAATGGAGCTGAAACAGTGGTATGACTTTTCAAAACATAACAGCCTTTGCTTCAGGCTATCCTTGTTTTAGTAGCCAAATATTCAAACCAAAATTGGGTCATCAGTGAGTGTTAAATTATACTATAACCTGTCAAAGACTCCATATTCATGAAAATCAATAGACTGATTGCCTGACGTTGGGTGTGGTGGAGTATGTGAGCCTTGTGAGTGTCTCCACTCATAGTCAATTGGCTTTGGGTTGGATATTTTAACCTAGGATTAGAGAAGGAGATCATGTGTTTGAATCTCACTATTACTCTAATAATTATAAGACTTGCCTGTACTTAGCTCAAAATATGGCTTAGCGCGTGAAGGGGCACAGTATATTACTATTCGCTAGCGGCTTAAGCTTTTAGATGAGATTGTGGTTTAATAGGATACAAAACCTATTTTCCAATATTGCCAGGTGTGAAGTCCAGTGGACCATCATTGTAATTATATTTTTGCTCACATTATTGCAATTGTCTTAGTATTATTACAAAGCTTCGCCATTTGAGTTAATTTAAATTTAAATTTCTGTCTTTTGGAGAAATTGAGTAGGTTCTGTATTATTGCTTTGGCAGGGGATAGGTATTTTGCTTGATGGTCTTTATGGAACAGGCACTGGTTCTACTGTATCAGTGTAAGTAATTAAGATTACACAACTCAATCAACTACGCTACATGCAGGCTAAATGTCTTGCTTCATTTGGTACAAGATAAGCATGACAGAGGCCTTTGCCATGTATTTCAGGGAAAATGTGGGGCTTCTTGGACTCACTCGAGTTGGAAGTCGCAGAGTAGTTCAAATTTCTGCTGGCTTCATGATATTCTTCTCTATGTTAGGTTGGTATTTGTCAATCTGTGGGTCACAATGAAACTTGGGGTATGAAAAATATATCTAACGATTGCTGGCATATTAGGCCAACGGTTCAAACTGTGATAACAGGCCAACCGAGTGAGAATTAAATATGAGAGAATATTTTTGATGGCCACCTGTTCCTGTTCGCCTTTTTCATTATTAAATATCATTATTTTTGCAATCTAAATGGGTTCTGTGAATTTTCAAAACGACTTCAATAATATTTTCATAGTCAAATCTTGTTACTTTCTTGCAGGGAAATTTGGCGCTGTTTTCGCATCTATACCCTTCCCCATATATGCTGCATTATACTGTGTTCTATTTGGCCTTGTAGGTATGCTGTTGTTATTTACAAATATCTCTTTTCTTTTATTTTGTTCACTTCACAACCTTTTCTTATTTGCCTGCAGGTTCTGTTGGCCTATCATTTCTTCAATTCACGAATATGAATTCTATGAGGAGCCTCTTTATAACAGGCCTCTCACTCTTTCTTGGGATATCTATTCCTCAGTTTTTTAATGAATATTGGACTCCCACACGTAACGGTCTTGTAAAAACAAATGCTGGATGGGTGAGTCTTATCCCAGCAAACTTTAAACAAAATGTCTACACGAAGTTACGATCATCAATTGGAACGCTGATTCTGGCATCTACAGTGATCCTGATCTAAGGCATTACAGAAACTTGATCAATGTTGTTTTAGTACATACCTTTTTCTAAGATTTTGAAGCTCAAAAGTTCAACTCTGTTATTTATTTTCAGTCCCTCGGTTTTTTTTTGGTGCAATCAAAAAGATGGTTCATGTCTGTTTCTTTTTGCAGTTCAATGCATTCTTGAATACGATATTCTCGTCACCGCCAACAGTGGGGTTGATTGTTGCTGTGTTCCTAGACAACACATTAGAGGTGGAGAAGTCGAAGAAAGATCGAGGGATGCCATGGTGGTTGAAGTTCAGAACATTTAGAGGAGATAACCGAAATGAAGAGTTCTACACTTTGCCATTCAACCTCAATAGATTCTTTCCACCTACATAGCCAACGTTGATGATCATTATTCTCCTCCCCCCACCACCACCCCACAAACACACACCCCACAGCCTAGCTAATCCCTTTTACAATTCCAATTCATTAACATGATGGATCAGTGTTCTTTGAAGCTGAATCTCCTAGTTCATGTTAAAGCAACTTAGAAAATGCTAATTTTCTCATCATAGCATTAGTTAATATTTTTTTTGTGGGCCTTTGTGTAGCAAAAGGTCCCATAATAGGATTGTAGAGCTCCCAAAATGTTTTGTAGGTTCTCATCTCTCTATTGAAATAAAATGAAGGGCATAATCTCTCTCTCGCTGTCTCTGTATATATATATTTGTGTGTGTGTGTCACTTTGAGCAGTATGATGCCCGGCAATCTTGTCGGGTGGAATGCGTTTGTGTTAAAATAATCTTTCATTCATACCTTATTTGTTTATTTGTTTATAGAAATGAGTTTAAATATCACACCTGTACATGACTCATTTATGAGACGAGTTATTCGGCACAACCAATGTGTTACCAACTAAATAAAAGAATTGGTTAGAATTTTTTGAATCTACCCAAAAAATTATCAATTTATTGCACATTGCATAAATTTTACCTGTTTATTATAACAATAAATTATAATTGAATAAAAAAGTGTGTGCACAACAATGAATATAGAAAAAATCACAATTCTTGAAGGTGAGGCAGAGGTTGAGAGGCTTAATTTTTTTATTTATTTCACGGGTTTATCAAATTAACTTGTTAACTACACGAATCTGTTAAGATTATGTTTAAACCTGTTAAATCTATGTTGGATTCGTGTCGGTTTTACGAGTCGTGTTTAAGATTATCAAACTTAATAGTACTAGAAAAAAATAATTAGTGGTGCTCTTAAACCAATCTTTTACGCAATGTTTTTAAGTTAATTATAGGTGTCTCAATCTGAATTCCCAAAATAAACAAATGTGGAAATTTATTTAGTTCAAACTTGATTTGTTTATCGTTATCATGAATCAGCTATCCAATTTCAAGCTTCTCAGCCCTATTTTTCGGTTTTGGATAATCTATTTTATCTAATATTACAGTTAAAATTTTACTTTATAGAAGTACGACAATCATGATTAATTCAAGGGTGTTAATTTATAAAATTTTATACCTTCAATTTTTAATTTTTGATATTACAGATTATCTTCGAATACGAAGTTATTGTTAATTTTTTAAAATAAGTTTTTTGTGTACCGGGTTCAGTGTCGGGTTCGGGTGTGAGTGTGGGTCATAAATTTCTTAACCTAATTTTAAATTTTTTGGCTGTTGGAATTCAATTTTTGTATTGATTTGGATTTGAATTTTGCACCAATTTGAATTTGAATTTCTAGTCTCTTTATTAATAGGTACCTTATGGGTTACATTTATAGGAGTATTACTATTTGGATTTAAAAATTTGACCTAATTTATTGACATAATGATGTGACTTTATAAGAATCATTAGATCAACACCAAATTCTAATATTTGACGAGGCCTACAATGAATTTAAAGGTCACATTAAATTAGGTCAAAAAATTATCTATTTCCATGGTGACTGTTTTGATTAATCACTGATCTGTTTATATGTATCCAAATTTATTCTACATTCATAACTTCATTATATTCATTACATTTATTATACCTTTAGAGAGTCATTCTTTTGACATATAAGAGAGTACAAAAATAGTTTCGAGTTTGTTATGCATACAAATTATAGTGTTTCATATGTTTGCCTTGATTATTATATTTTAGGAGACAAACGCAATAGATGGATACACTAAGAACAAAGGGAAAGATGACACGAATTCTTTACTTACCCACGAAAAGCTTGCCAATGTAAACACCTACTATTCCTCCTAGTATAACTACTATTGTTATGGCTAAAGGTTTAGAAGAATTCATAACTATTATACTAGTGGCAAAATATGTCTTAAGGACACGACGACGTTAAATTCTAACTTATTTACATATGACCAGAATGTTAACTTAGTGATAGTGATAGAGTGTTAGAGTTTCCTCAAACCCTTGGCCAATTGAAACACTTAGAACAATTGAAAAATTTGCCATAAATTGAAAGACTTTTGATCAAGTTTAAAATTCTTTTTTAGCCTGTAATTGAGTCGATTTTAATTATTACTATTTATGTTACATAAATTATTTCAAAAATCAAAATAAGCTAATTATATATACAAATTATTTTCAAGTTTAAATAAAAAATTTAATTAATTATAATTTTTTATTTTATATCGAATTCGAGACCTTTTTTTCTTTCAAAATTTCAACCAACGTGTCTGTTTACTAGTAGTCACACTATGAAAACTTAAAACGTTTTAAGTCTCAAAAAGCTCTGCTTTCATTCATGAAATTTCAGAGGGAGGCCAAGGCCGTCCGTGGGAAGAAGAAGACACAAAAACGAAGTGATTGATTTCGAATCAGCAAAAGAGAAGAAGGATCTGTGTGGTGGGTAAAGTGTAGAAAATGTCGATGGGAAGCGACACGACATGGGTCGGCAAGAAACCTCTCAGACGACTCGGTGGCATGTCCGATGCTCTCTCCATCGCCGCTGAGCTTGGCTTCTCTGTTCCCCCTCCACCTTCCCAGGTCCTCTCTCTCTCTAGTCTTTCCATTTCGTCGAAAATGTTGGATGTGATCGTTGTCATTATTTAGTCCCAACGAAACAAAGTGGAAAATTGTGAAAAAGTGGCTTGATTTTGGTGGGCAAAGGGCAGAATTACGAAAGTTTAAGATTTTGATTCAGAACCCTGGTTTTTTTACCGTTCTTTGAGAAATATTTTTACTTGGTGACAGATGTATGTGGGAGATTCCACAAGGGTTGATTTTATGCTTGGGGGGTTCTGGTGTTCAATTGTTTAGTATATTAAGTGGTTATGTAGGGCAGGACATCATTATTCAAGCATTGTTTTGATTTCATTGTTAGAGATGGAATTGAGGTCTAGATCAGTTTTATCAATCCGATTGCCTATTCAATAACTTACATCCTAAATACATTGTCATCTTCATGCCAGATGGAAAATGTCCCTCAGAGACTTAGATCCAAAGTACTTGTTCTTGAATCATGGTGCTCTACCCTTTCAATTATGATGCCTTTTTTTGCAACCTAGTTTGATTTTGTGCCGTCTACCTCTGCACTACAATACTTAGATTTTGTAAGACTCCCAATGTATGCTACTTGTACATTTTTGCTGGACTGTTTAGTGTTAACCTAAATTTTATTGGTCAATGTCATTTGCTTGAATTTTTTATTTTTTGACCCTTTTATGGTATTTAATTTATATTTTTGAACTGGCCAAGTTAGATGATCAATTAATAGAGAATCATGATCTATCCAATTCTGTTAAGTGCCCCTGTAAAGTCTAAATAGTCGACAAAATCTCAATCACACATAACTGTATTGGCAGTTGGAGAATGAAGATTCTCCTGTTAATTCTGAGAGTGAAGTTTAAGAATTGAGCTACTATGGTGCTACTGAATCTCTTGTGAATGGGAGAGGAGCTCAGCTTGGTAGGGTCTAGGAAATGAGATTGGAACTTGATTTATTTAAGTTTAAAATATTAATTTTCCGAGGCAAGTTCTTGGTATTGATGCCATAACTTCCTCATAACATCAAACTTTTGATAAATAGTTTTAGGTGGAGATTTATGGAAGAATTATATAGAAGGAAAACATGATTGTTATGACAAATGCTTGCTTGCCACCAGTCATGCAATTTTGGCTCTTTCTTCACTTGTAAATCTATGTTACTTGAATTCCCAAGAACCGCGATTAGTGGTGCCAGACCTGCAACACATGGATAAGACGTGATATGTATCTGGCATGCTTGCCTTGACATACACCCAGCAGGCATATCCTGTCAGTTATGTTTTACTACATCATTGGTCATAGGACTCCCTTATTATTTCTGACATGGTTGCTCCAAGGCGGCAAGGTGAATGCTGTATCCATGCTGAACTCCTTTTGTTGCATGAGAAGATCATTTCACTGATGGGAATAGCAGAAGAATTTACGAGGATTATGTTTATGGTCCTAAACCCTTGTCCTTTGATTGCGGCTTTAGATAACAATTTGTAGCTTAAGACATGTAGCTGAGTACATGAGATGCTTGTTTGTCACTATGGAGTTTCATTTTGTCTTGAGTTATCAAGTTTTTCGCTTGATCTGTTGCTGTTATTGATGGGGTTCTTGAGCTGTTTGATTTGTGAATAATACTAAGGGATGAGCGAGATGTCTAAATAGTTTGTTCATAGTCAGCAGTATTCGCTTCCCCTGATCATTTTTTTTGGTGTCGTTTTATTTGTGTGTGCTGAGTTAAAGATTTTCTGCTAGATGAATTGCAGTGTATTAATTGAGCTGGCTTCCTTAGTTGTGGAACATTTGATTGAGTGCCTTTTCTCTTGTCTAGGAGGAGTTCCAAAACTTAACAAGTGGGGCTGGCGAAAAGGGTGATGACTTGATAAGGGTTTTGAGAGAGCTTACCACTGTACAGAGAAAAATTGCTGATCTGCAAGTAGAACTTCAAGGTCGAAAGGTGAAGTGATGAAAATGTCCTCTGCCATTTTTCAATTTACTTGTGTTCAATTTTGAAACATTTTGTGTATGATGGTTCCTTCGAGGATGTAACCTGCTTAATTTCTCACTTGCCAAAATAGTCTTTCCGGATCATACTTGTCTGCTTTCTAGGTCTGGAATGCATTGTTTTTTCCACATAAGTTAGACATAAAACGAAATACCCTATGAAACAAAAATAACTATATCATGTTTCATTCCTGTCTCTGTATCATATAAAAGAAGACATATTGGAAGCATAGTTATCAAAATCATACGATTCGCGATTCGATTAGTACGATTCAGTTCGATAGAGGTACAAAACGATTCGTATCTTATATGAGAATCATTTTAGAGTTGAATCGCACCTGAATAGTACGATTCGATTCATATCGCATGATCGCACAATTAAATCATTTTTTTTTAACACTCAATTTTTTTTCGCAAAACGACATCGTTTTGTCCGCTAAGCAATAAACAACGTTGTTTTGTTTGTAGAGGAACCCACACCCTAATAAAAACTCAACCTCTTTGCTCGTTCTCTCTCTGATGTCGTTTAGAGCTCGCCCTGCGTTGTCTAAAGCTAAAGGTCACAGCTAACGCTCCCATGTCATCAATTCTTTCATAGGTAGTTTGTTAGATTCTAATTTTTTGTTTCAAAATGTTGGCATGTATGTTTTTTCTCAATCAATTTTCTTATTTGTTTTTTTTCATTCATGTTTATAACCTAATCTATACTGAGTGTCACTATTTTTGGTTCTTGAATAGTTATGGTTCTTTAATGAATTTTTTTTCTTCAAGTTGTTGAATTTGAAAATAGTTAAGCAGAAGATAAAAATGAAGTAATAGACTAGCATCTTTCCATTTAGACGACGTGATTATGTCAATCGATTATTTTTAGAATTCAATAATGTTCAATATTCAATATATTTTCTATTTTAAATATGTAGTATTACTTTTATTTTTATTCAAATTTTGTGTCGAATCTTACAATTCACGATTCTCAAATTTAAGATTCCGATTCACCATACGAATTGCGATTTGACAACTATGATTGGAAGGCATGAGATAGTTATAGATAGCTAATTGGGACTTGGGAGGCTTGAAGTTGGTTCAAATTGGTTTCATATATTTTTTCCTAGTTGTAAAATGGGTGAGCAATGATTTAATTCCTTCTTTCTTATTTTTTCCCCTCCCTTGGGGGAAAACGGGCTGGGGGTGGGGGCATCAACATTACCACACTTAGGATGTATACTTCATTATACAAAGAATATTAAATGTGTGTTTCTGCATGCACATGCAAAGTAGGGTTTCATATTTCTTTCGTACTAGATCTTTAGTTCAAGCATTCGCTTCCTCAAAAATTGCGTGGAATATGAGTAACTTAGATTCTAATGGGCGATCCCTTCAATGGTGAACTCACCTGCTTCTAATTAGTAGGTTCAAAATAATGCAGTTTGCAGGCTGAATCTGAGATACTTGTCATCTGGAAATATATTAATGGTCGATGTGGTATGAAGTGTGAACCATAGATCTCTCTCAATCATTGGTTTACTCTTTTTACTATTTTGGGGTTAAGTCCTTTGCCTTGATCTGTTTATCCTTGGTGCATGCATAGTCAGTTCCATAACCTTAGAAAGTAAGCTCAGAATATGATACTTGTGGTTTGCAACTCGCTGATTTTAATAAGATGGTTTTCTACTTCCAGTTGACCTTTATGGAACTCATTTAAAAATCTCATTTTATTTGATCGTGAAGCATTGGTTGAACCTATTCTTTGGGAACTGATAGAACTGATACATGTGTGGGAACTTTTAGGAGGATAAGAATGTTGCTCATCTGACTCATGTGAGTGAAATGGAAAAGAAGATTGACACTTTGGCAAGGATCACTGCCATATTGAAAGATGTTATTCAGAACAAGGTAATTTATTCAATCTTTTGACTTTATATGATGAATTTTAATATAATTAGGTTAGAGATCCTTGATGTTGTTTATCAAATTTTCAATTCTCGATTAATGTGCCTGATGGCACACAATTTTTTTTCTTTTGTTTTTGGTTAGTTAATTAGGACATGCACTACAGACAAATCTCTGCTGTTTCCCAATGGGATTCTAGTTTCTAGATATGAATTGACACGGTTGACATTGCAAATTTATCAATTGCATAGTATGTAGGTCACAGTTCAGTTGAGACAGTGAATTAAGCTATTTAGTGTTGGTATGATATCTTTGTTAATTAACCTTCAAAATCCTGTTCTTACATTGATTTTCATTCCTTTATTGTTAGTAATTACATGTTGCTAAATTTCAGACAATGTAACCCTTTTGTATACAGGATACACAGATGGGTAAACAATATTAAAGATATAAAGCAGCCAGCCTTAGCTCCTCTGTGTTTGACAACTTAAACTGTGACTTGTAAGCAGACCCTCAACTAACTATGGCAGCACATTACTTGAGTCAAAATGGAGAACATAAAAACAGTGGGCCATTTGACCTTCTGCAAGTTTGAATTGACTGTTAATTTCCTGGCAGAATAGTCCATCATGTCTTATTCGGTGCATCTACTGTGTTGTATCTTATCCTTAACTGTCTTTGGATTGTCAATCATAGCCTGCTAGTATAATTTGGCGTCATGATATTTTGGTTAGAAGTCCTCAGTATTTAATTACAACTTGGAGAGGGTACTTTTCTTCTTTGCAAATTTCACCATTGTCTCTTATATGGATTCCTTCATTAAGGATGCAAATGATGAACTGATCTCATGTCAGCAGGAGAATTGCTCTCTTTGTTTTAGTAAATTTTAGAAGTATTTTCCCCTTGAATTTGGTTGCTATCATTTTGTCCTTGCTTCTTTCATTCTTTTGACTGGGCAATTAAATGACTATATGTATTCTTTATGGCACACTTTAACCTATGGATGTTTCCCTTGTTCTTCAGGATCGCATTATTGCTCGTCTTCAACAACCATATTCGTTAGATTGTATTCCAGTGGAAGCAGAATATCAGGTTGGTGATTCGATGAAGATATCAAACTGTAATGTTACCTTGGGGCAGTAATTATCATCTTAATCCTCTCGGGTAAATTTTGTTTTTTTAATAATATATGTATATCCTAGAAGTTTCATTTTGATTGTGGATAATAAAATGCTCTATTGCACCATACATGTAGGAAATTTCTTTTTGCTAGCATTCTCCAATCCAATCAGATATCAGACTAGTAGCTTTCTTATATAGGAAAGCTGGACCTGGTTTCTGAGAAGGTTGTGTTTGAAACCTACAATTTCATTTGGTTGCCTGTGAGCCATAATTTTGATGAGTGCTATTTTTACACATTTCTCATTGCATCCTAATCAATTAAGAAGGAAAAAGATAGTACCAATAGTTTATAGTTTCACATTGACTATATAGGATGCAAATCGCCTAGAATCATTCAGGTTCTAGATTTAAACTATAAATCAAAACTGAGTTTTCTATAATGTGTAATTGATGAATATCCTTTCTGAAAGTAGTCATTGAATATATAGGATGTATTCATTTGTAATTTCTTTGACATTGTACAAGGATTACAACTTGAATGTTTCTCCTGTGTTTTGCCTGGCTTTGCAAAGAAACAATTTTCGGAGTTACTGATGAAGGCTGCAAGTGATTACGGTGCCTTGACAGCATCTGTTGGAGATTTCCAGTGGAGTCAGAACTTCAAGGAACCACCATCAGTATGGGGGGTATGTTCACTGGAAAACTGATATGTTCTTATGGATACTTTTTTAACATATATGGCAGCATTCTTTATAAGCTCTAAAGGCTTATTTCCCTACATATACAAACCTGTTACCTTGTTCAGTATTTCAGATATTATACCTAGTGCTTTGAAATTTCATTGTAAGCTTTGACCGACGACTGGAAGTTACAAGTAAGCTTGCAGTGGTGAAACCATTTTCTTTTCAATAGTTTGGGAGGCATTGATCAATCATTTAGAGTAGAATCAATATTTTTGCGAAAAATCTGAGTCACCCAAAAAGATATAAAGGACTGGAAAACTTCAAGAGTGAACATTAAAGGTAGGTAAAAATTCAATCCTGAACATTGGGCCTAGGTAGTTTTTTTATTGAGGATCAGCGGTGGCCTATTGGCTCCACAGCTCGCCGTTGGACCGTTGGGTCGCAAGTTTGAACCTCACCAGCCCCCTCCCCTGTAAAAGTTTGAAATAGTGACCAAAAAAAAAATGATTTTCTACTTTTTTTTAAAAAAGGTAGTTTTTGTAAACATCACTGCTCTTCTGGTACTATCCAAAATTTTGACTAGCTACCTTGTGGAGATATCAGAATAGTGAGAAACCATTGTTGTTTTCCAGAGATAGTTACCCGGATGAAACAGTCTATTTTTTTTTTGGTCCAGGGAAGGTCAAAGGAAACACTATCATCTCTGAAAATTTTGAAGAGAATTTAAATGCCATGTACCAGAATCTGTTTATATAACATGTTCATAGGGAGAGGATGCATTATATTCCATGTAATTGCAAATGCCTCCAGGCTTACGATTGCAGTTAGTGAGAACAATATCCTGTCCTCAAACTTGGTGGGAATTTTAGTGCATTGAAAAAGATGATTTTTTGCACAAGGCAATGTTTTCCTCAATCCTGTCTAAATGGTGCAGGAAATGCTCCGTCCAATACCTGTTGCTTTGGCGTCGTGCACCCGATTTTTTGAAGCCATGTCTGCTATGAGGGAATCATTTGCCACACTTCAAAATCTGAGAGTGGGTTATTCCTCTTATCCCTTGTCCACTACACCAGCCCAGGATTCTTCTCAAAGTATGCAGGAAAATTCTGAATGTGTTACTCCACCTCCTTGGGGAAATGAATCAAGCTTTGATGATTTAGCAACCAGAAGCCTCAGAAAGGAAGATATTGAGCATCATGAAGCAGAGGATGAACATAGTGAAGTTGGTGACTCCCATATGGTTGACGGCACAAGCCACAGGAGATTGTCTTGGCCACCTCCGGTGAAAAAAAATGGTTTGTAATCAACACTCTGCTGTCTCTTCGTTTTGTTGCAAAAAATCAAGAGAAAATAGGTGCTGAAAATATATATTTGCTTTGCAATTGCTGCATTATGAATGGTTTCTCGTACTCTGCTAGTCACATTTTTTGCCACCTTGCATTTGTGATATGGTACCCGTTTTAATGAAAGACAATGGTTGCATTGGCACCATTTGCATCTGAATCTATGTGCTTTCCAAGGAGACCTTTCTGCTGATTTTTTGTTGCTGTCTCAATTTTTAGTTTCATGGGTAGACGTTAATTCCTTGAAGAATTGGGTAGTGTTATTGGCACTTCTGGAAAAGCTTGTTGAGCTCACTCTGGGTATTAATCTGGTAATTTTCAACACTCACATCGTTTTCTTATCCCATCCTTCCCCCCAGATAATCGATTTAAGTAGAGCTTACAAAACTTGCTACAATTGAAGACAGTTGAATTGAGGTTCATTGGAGTACATATGAGTTTTGAGTCCGGGAATCATTCTCTCCCAAATGGGGGTTGAGGTTGTCTATCGTTTATCTTTTTTAGATCCTAATATAGACGAGTTTTGATGCACTAGTTTGGCTTTTTTTTGTTTTGGTTTTGACACATATCACATATGCTTCTTAGGGGATTCCCTTTGTGTTGAAAGAATATCTGTTTGCTTCTTCTTGGTGGGGAAAGAGTTACTGCTAATTAAATCCACCGGCAATGTTCTGCAGCTTTTCCTGTATTCAAGTGTGGAACATTGGTGCATGTGCACCTCAAAGCATGTGAAGAATCCAAGTTAGCAAACTCTATGACTATGGGTGTCAATGTACTTTCACATTTTGATGCAAATTCAAATTCGATTAATTGGACATTTTTTTTTATTTCAACGGTCAGGAGTGTCCAAATTAACTTATGCGTATTTCGATAATTTCTTCTTCAGTCCTATCAAAGGTAGATCATCCATGTCAATATTAGGATATTCATGATAGATATCTCTCATGACATGGTTTAAAAAGGTTGCCAAAATTTGATTAATTGGACATGCGGTGATACTATGAATTGATAATCAAAATCTGAATTGAAATTTATTATATCAAATGCTATAAATTTATAATGAAATTGATTGATTGTTTGATAAATTTAATTAAAATTTATATTTAATTTGATAAAATTTAGCTTAAATGTGTTATTCAAATCAAATTGAATTTTAAATTAATTTTTTATTTAATGAATTTGAATATCTCTTATAAATATAAAATCAATCAAATCTTTAAATCAAATCCAAATGAGCTTGAACATAACCAGGCTCGAAATGATTTGAATAACACATTTAACAAAGCTCAAAACGAGTAATACCTCTCTAACTTGAACACAAGTTAGAGAGGTGTTAATCATTTCGAGCTTGGTTATCTTCAGACTCGGCTAGTGATGTTCAAGGTCTGCTTAAGCTCTTCTGCTCGACTCATTCGTTTATCAAATCTAAAATATTGTTTAAGATCGACTCAAACCAAATTTGATCCGAGCTCTAAATCTCAACAAAAGCATACAAACTTAAATTTTTTGATAATTTTACTAAAATAACTTTAATATTTATAATAATATTTATGTATATTATGTACAAGTAGGAAAAACGAACTGAACTGATAAATAACTCGACATCGACTCGAATACTAAACAAACTTAAAAATTTATTCAAATTCGACTCATTTTCTAATATAAATAAGTCCAACTCTAACTAAAATTGAGTCGAGCCCGAACTGCTCGTGAATCGTTTAACAGCCTTACTCGTAAGAACCAATTAATCAAAATAAATAAATTTGCGGCCTCGTTCAGCATTGTATTTGGTGAATCTTGATCACTTATTAACTCTAATCATTCAATTATTTTTATCCAAAATTCTCCTCTAAATTTGGCTGTAACTTTGAGATTAACGGTTGGTTTAATGGTCATCACTTCACCGTTAAACATTAAGTCTGTGGGTTCGAATCCCATAATCTCTCTCTCTTATAATAGTTCTTGACCAGAAAAAAATAAAATAAAATTGGAGTACAAATTGGGTGTAACAATGACACATGTCAACTAATCAACTAACCAAATCAAGTCTTATATTCTAATTATTTGAGGTCGGCTATATGAGTTTGTCTTTGTTATTTATTTTGGTCATGCGCTATAAACTCATTTAAATTAAATATTTTATATCTTTTATTTTAATATTTTATTCAATGTTAATTTAGTTATGCCTCTATTCCTAGTATAATTAAGAGAAATTCTATCACTTTTTTTAATCGGTGCCTCTATCAACCATGGTTAAACATGCCAAACTATTTTAATAAATTTTCTCTCAATTTATCCTCAATTGGAACTATTCCTTCCATTTTTTAATACGGTCATTAAATTGGGTGATTAATAATAATTATTAAAATAAGATTCATTAAATCTATATAATAAATTTGTTAGTAAATTGAATATTTATACTATATACATTTTACTCCAATTATGCATTTTGAGAAAATTTTGATGCTATTTTTATGAAAATAATAGGTAAAAATTAATTTTAAATGATGTAAATAAACAAATTAATTTTTAATTTAATATAATAAAATTAATTTTTTTAATATTAATTAATAACATTACTTAATACTGTAATATTCAATATTTTTTCCGAAATCTGGGGATCCCAACTACCCCAGAAGTAGCTACAATGTCATTATGCTCCTAAACTATAGATATAATAGTAGGTTCACGCATGCTTGCCTGCCATCAGCTAATGTCAGAGATGAGTAACCATGTTTTTCATTAAAAATAAAAAAACATATTCATTCTACATACGTATTAGATACGTGATTTAAAAAAATTTATTTTACACTTTTAAAAATTATTTTTTAGACTAGTTATGACTTTTTCTTTTAAAATAATAATATTACTATAAAAAATAATAATCGATAAGATAATTTTCATTTACACCTTCTCTAAATAGGTCTATCTTCAACGACACCCTCTATCCTTTCTAAAATTTTACTACACTCCCCTGTCAATGTTGGTTGACTAACAGACGTGATGGAAACACATTTTTTTATCATTTTATCCATTAATTTTATAAAGATTTATATATTCACAAATTATTTTTCATTAAATTATATATAAATAGGTATTACCTTGTTTAGTCCTTATTGTGCATGAAGTTAATAGTTATATAAATAGTTATTACCCATTTTATTACATTCTTTGGTTGGCTTTTATGTAGAATACTATTTTTTGGGTTACAATACTGACTCGATTTGTACAATAATTTTTATCCCTTGTACATAACTTTAATTAATAGCATCTACCAGGTGGTATTATTTGTTGGTATAAATCCACTACTGGTACAAGTAAGGAAAATGACACAAATACACTCTTTTTTTCTTGTATTATGTTTAAGTGTATTATATCGCCAATTTTTTTTTAAATTTTAAAAATATATACTTTGAATTTTTTTTATATTATATTTAAGCATACGATATTTTCGGTTTTTTTTAAAATAAAATTATTTTGATTTTTTTTCTTATATTATGATTAAGCGTACAGTGTCACCAGTTTTTTTTAATATTTTTTTTAAAAAAATTATTTTTAATTTTTTCCATATATTATGTGTTAAGCGTACGATGTCACTTGTTTTTTTTTTAAAAAAATTTAAAATTATTTTGAATTTTTTCCTTGTATTATGTTTAAGTGTAAGGTGTCATCGACTTTTTTTAATTTTTTTTTAAATAAAAAATTATTTTGAATTTTTTCGTACAATGTAATCCTTTTTTTTAGAAAAAAATTATTTTGAATTATTTCCTTATATTATGTTTAAGCGTACAGTGTCACCGATTTTTTAAAATTTTTTTTATAGTATCACCGATTCATATCACTAGATTTTTTATGTGAATTTTTTACATTATTCTTAACCGAATCTTTGTAGTTAGGTGTTTGGGTTGTTGAGCCATGAGAGAAATAAGAGAGAGAGATAGGGGGTGAAGGTGTTATGGGAAATAAGAATGGTAAAATTGGTATTTAATAAAAATTTTAGTATAACATCAACACTTTTTTGATGGTTAGTAACGATCGGTTACAATAGGGGATCTAGGTGAAGATGACATATAAATTAGAAGGAAGTACAGTAAAAAAATTTTAAAAAAATGGGATGTTGTTGAAAATAAACCTATTTAAAAGGGATGTAAGTGAAATTATCCCTAATCGATAATACCGATCGAATTTTTTTTTTCAGTAGAGTTTTCTGTAAAAAAAAAAAAGAAGGCAAACCCCATCATCCAACGAAACCATTAGGCATTAGATGCATGGGATGGAAGCGGCAAGGTTTTGTTTTCTTATTCTCCGAAGCACTTTCCACACAATGTGTCCCCATCTATAAGTGCCTTTAAAGTAATCTATCACCATGCACCCATACTGATGTGGCGTAGCTTGTCCTATCTTATTATTTTACACACGGTTATCTGGGCCCACAACATGAAAATGATTTTGGCCTCAGGTACGTCCAAGTTTATGTGGGTCCCACTTGTATCATCGGTCTACGTACAAAAAGCCGTTTTGGTATTCAAGTCCAAAGTGAGTACACCTTGCGCACTCAGCGTATCTTATCCAATCCATACATCGTACTGGAATGAAGCCCTTTAAAGCTGTGATGTGATCAGATCCTCTAATATATTTTTTGTTTTTATTTTTTTTTACACTACTTGAATGAGTGATCTAACAGCAAATGGTACTTATTTAAAATCGTTATTGATTCTCGTTTGATTATCATTATCAAGCAGAATTTGATCCGTAAAAATAACATGATTTATTACTTGATTTTAAATTTTTAAATTCAATCTGAATATTAAACTCATGATCATGTGTTTCTTCAAATCTAGAGGACGTGAGATTGAAAAGGTGGGTTAAGAGGTTAAGGATATAAAAAATAATTATATCTCGAAACATGACTATGAATTTGATTGATTAATGATAAAATAATCATTTATAAGACAAATATTTGTTAATAATTATGATATATTCATAGATCCTACATGTATATATGTTATATACTAAATATGAGTATGAACTGGATTCAATGTTGAATCTCATCTTTGTAAAGAAGGTTTTAGGTTTGGAAGGATTTGAAGAAACTAATCCAAACCCTCATAAAAAATTCATAAAAATAAACCCTAGGAGCTATTTGTTAAAGGGTATGGAGGGCTTGGTAAGATGAGTTTGGAGAAAATAATCCAAATGACCCTCAAATCTCTTGTTTAGATTGAAAATTCAATATTGAATTCTCAAATCAGGTCGTAGCTAGTCTGAATATTAAACTCATGATCATGAGTTTTGTCAAATTTAGAGGGGATGAGTTTGAAAAGATGGGTTAATGATTCAAAAAATAATTGTACCATTTAACATAAATATGAATTGGATTGATTAAGAGAATAGTCATTTACAAGATAAATAATTGATAATAATTATGATATATCTATGAGTCTTACATATGTATGTATTGCATAACAAATATAAACATGTATCGAATTCAATGTTGAATCTCATATTTATAAAGAAGAGTTTACGTTTGAAAAGATTTGGGGAAACTACCATTTTCAGTTAATTACTGTGACCCAAACTAAATATTGTATAAGAAAACTTTATGATCACACTATGGGGTAATTTTTGGGTTATAATTTTTGAATTATATTTAAATTGTTTATTATTTTCCTAAAACCTAACCCTCTGTTTGATATGAAAGAATATTGGATGGATGGATGAATGGAAAGTGCAGGAGAAAAGAGAGACTTTCCTTTGTTTAGTTGGGATAGAAAATTGAGAGGAAAGGAAAACATGATAGAAAAGCTATACTTTCCGCCCACCATTTGTAATTTTGTCTAAATTTGGGTAGAAAATGGAAGGAGAAGTGCCGGCAACTAATCACATTTATTAAATTTACTCTAATACCCCTTAAAAGTGACGACTATTTTGAATGAACAAAATAAAAATGGTGGGGTCTACTTTTTTTTTTTTTGGCAAGATAAACCAATATAACAGTGGGACCAATGAAATATTTGAATTCTATAATTTTTACAACCACAAAGGTATTCATGTAATTTAAAAGTTGTATTTTTTTTTATAATTTTTCTCATAATAATAAAAAATTTATTTTCTAATTTTTTATCTCTTCTAATAAACAAGAATTTTTTTTTTTAAAATTCTTCGAAAGATTAAAAATATATCCTTCTTTTTTTTTCATCCAACTTATTTTTTATTTCTCTTGCCAAGCATACTATTATGGTAATGATCCTAATGGTATCTTCCAAGGCTAGCCATAGGACACCTCACACACCTATCCAATAATGACTATGATAACCTCCTTACGTTTTTGATAACCTATTGTTGGATCTTCCTATAAAACTACAGCTTGTGGGTCCCCACTTAAGATCACCGAAATATCCAAAGGATACCAGAAGCGCAGAGGGGTACGTACATCACATTATAATTTCTCAGCCGCCCATGTTTCGGTTATTTCCCGGCTTTATCGATCCGCGAAATCGCCGATTTCTCGTTTCTATCTCTATCTCTGCCTGCAAACACAACCAACGATGCTGGCGGGAAGTCTCACATTCCGAGACGAAGTTACCATTTTAGCCCTCACTTGCCCTTTCCCCAACACACACACACACCACGGATTTAATGACGCTCTCTTATTTCAACGTGTCCCTGACGAAAGCCACCCTCCTCCTCCTTACAGGCGAAGTAATTCCAATACTCAGAGAGAGAGAGAGAGAGCATTATATGTATCTGTACATATATGTATGTGCAGAGAGAGAGAGAAATTGGGTTTGGTTTTTGTAACTGATCTGTATTCATTGGATTTGTGTGGTTGGGTTGTTCTGTGATGTGCGTTTAGCGTGTGGTCGTCCGTTGATCTATCTGTGCAATCAACGTGTGATTGCGTAGGCTTGTAGTTCTTTAATTTCTATTTCCCGTGTTATGAAGTTCGGCGGTGATTCCTTCTTCGTCTCCCTTTGTTATTCATCGTCTCTGTTTCTCTCTCAATTGGAATGGAATTCCCTTGATCAATTCCCAGGTTCTTTCTTTTTCTCTCTCACATATGCACTTACATATATACCTATTTGTAATACATGTTTTCATTGTTATTGTGTTAAATTTTTATGTGGAGACTTATGATGTTGATTTGCTTATCAAAATGATTGAGCGGTGGTTTGTGGTCTTAATTCAGGAATTAATCGTGGATTTCATGGGCAGTGGCAACAATGGCCGGTTTGTTTTCCCTTTAACAAGTTTGCAAATTGGGTAAGAATGTTTCTTTGTTTTAAGTGTGGTTTTTTTTTTGGAAAAGAGTGACTTTGTGTCAATTACTTGCTTAATTTCATTTCCTCTTTGATGTGAAATCTGTAATGTAACATTTTATTATTGTCATTAATTTCACTCAAATTTAGAGGACGCAATCAAAAAAATTGAACATTTTGAATATTTTTTTAAAATTTATCTTGGGGTGAATTGTACTCCTCGAAGTATAGTGCATGAGATTTTGTTACAGTTAATGGAATTTTAAGTTTTTAATAAAATTGTGCTAGTGGGACCTTAATGTGCTGTATGATAGGAATGGATCAATGGACTGAATGCATTTTTTTCTTGTTTGTAGGTTAATAGAATTAGATCGTTTTATGAGGCATGTAATAATAGTTATTTTTGTTAGTGTTCATGTAGTCTACACTGTTGGCGAAATCATTGCTTAAGCTCTAGGGCCGATAGTTTCTACAAGGGATTGATGAAGCAGAAAGGTTTCATGACCTCCAGGATGCATAATGGTTGTAATTTTTGGTCAGAACCTTTTTTTTTTTTAGTTTTGGGGTGGGGTACTTTTGCAAACATTGAATGCATAAGTGTGAAGGGTATGCTTGAGAAAGTGCCTTATTTATATGTGGTATAATTATACTAAGAGATGGATATGAGTCCAAAATTGAATTTGATACGAAGATGGGAGGAATACAAAATACATGAGTGAAGGATTGGCAACAATGTAATAACCTTTATAATGGAGGATTTGGTCCTCGATGGAGCTGAGTGGCCCAAAAGAACTTTTGCGCCCAGCTGTGGTTTGCTGGGATTTATGTTACATGGACTTGAAATCACCATGGGACTACACACTACACTACTATATATTAACTACTTGAATTAGCATCAATTTTGTTTTGAAGAAACATATACAGAAATAGATAAATTGGCAGTTTTGTGCCCTTGGCTGTTTTTGCTAAATTCTACTGCTATGTTCTGCAGGGATTTGCAGTCTTATCTGTCACATCTTAACCTCTTTCTGGCTCCCGAAAGTAAGAAATTCTATATCTTGGTTGACAACCAACCATGGCTGGAAGACCTTGCACGGCCTGCACATTTGTGGCAATTGATGGTCACTAAGGTTGCTAAGATCATCTATGTTCATTGCATTATTTTTTTTTAGAATTTAGTACACATTTTATCTATTTATGTATCTGCAGTCTAGGTTGTCCCCCTTTGCAAACACCAGAGGTCGGAAGGGGAAAAAGGAGGCTAGGGAGTTTTTTGATCTGAATGATAGTTCTGAATCAAACACAAGCAATTCAAAAAAGTATAAAAGGTGGTTCACATTGATTGATGCTGTGACATTATCTCGGAAGAGGGCCTTGCTTCCTGTAAAGAAACTGAGAACTTCTTTGGCATTAAATAGCAAGTTGCGTAGGACCTTGTATGGTTTTATAGTTTTCGAAGTTGCATGGACTGATGTTCGTGGAATCAACTATTTGAATGAGCTTCAGGTATTTCTCCATTTGATGCCAATTTCTCTGTGTGTTTCAGCAGAAACTTCCTCATTCTCACTTGTCTTAATGTGAGTTGCAGACCGATACATCTCTGGCTATTGAGGCTAAATTCATGAGAAGATGGGAATTTGATAGCATAGCGCAAGCTGAAAGATGCATATCTTCATGGTTTCCAGGGACACGCAATGAGCTGCTTCTACTGAAAAAGCATCTGGACTCCACGATAGGTATTCTTTGGTACACATGGCCCATGCTTTGAATGAGTAGAATCAGCTTTTATGACTTCCATTGTTTTTGAAAGAGGATATGGTTGTGATGTTTCAAATTTGACACGGGGCGTTGCATCATTAAATTGACCAATTTTTGGGAATCGAAATATGTGAAACTGTGAGTCATGGACATGAACACATAATTACGCCAAGGAAAGGGGTTGGAAAATCTTAATATAGTAGAACAGAACTCGAACATGATGATGGGCTGGAAAAAAAAAATTCATCTTGTGTTGCAAACTATTTAGAGACCACAAACATTATTTTATTATAAGCACTTCTGATATCTTTTGGGTTTGACATAAAATTTGTATCTAGCAAAGTCACGCCAAGAGAAGAACAAAGCTATTGTTTGTGTTTGTGTAGTGTGTGAAGATGGATACAAATTCATATATGATAAATTCGTATTTGTGTGGCGAATTGGAGGAACAAAAGATAAAGCTTGGATGATAAAATCGGAGGGGTTTCCATTGTATTAAAAAAGCAGCACGAGTCGCTAGTTAAAAATTGCAAGAATAGGAAGGAAATATTTGTTGTGTGTAATGAGACTAAACTTGTGATATATTCCAAATTAAAACCGGAAAATGTGTGGGAGAAAATCTTAGATTTAGCACTCATCATAAATTTGGCTTGGAACATAACTTACAAAACAACTCAAAAGTTATTATAGTATCACACGATATGCCTTCAATTTTTCCATTAAGCCCCATGTATAGGAATTTTAAGGGTTAAAAAAGGGAATATGCATCACTGTTGGTGGGAACGGATTGTGTTCAATTTTCTGGTCTGCTCATATATTTACATTGTGAATGTGCCTGCATAGATGCTGATATGAGGCAAACATTATGGCATATGGGGAGGCTGCTCCCATTTCATATAGTCAACCAGGATACCAGAAAATAATAGGATAAAAGGCTAGTGGTCGGTCTGACCTTCTGCTTTAGTAATAGGGAGCCTACTCGTGTGCAAAATTAATTCATGAAATATTCTATTCAAATGAACCAGCCTATCTGTGATAACTATTCTTGTCAAATAACTATTATTGTGGAGGGGAATTCATGTCATAGGATTGTCAATAATCCATAGTTGTAGCAGTAAAATAGTATGTTTCCTTCCAAAGTGATGAATGATTGATCACAAATATCTATCAGACATTCAACATATATACGTACATATATAAATCTCTCTCACTCTATATTTATATAGTCAATTAAAATGTCTCTCTCTTGCCTCTCCTAGACTTTGCTATAGGCGGGAGCCTTGTGCACTACTGGTTAGTACCTTTTACATAATTAATTGTTGTCTTCTCATGCAAGATTATTGCAAATGCTGTCTTTTTAGGTTTTACCAAGCTGTTTACATGAGCATAAATTTGGTTTGGAAATTACGGATGTACAGTCTGCCAAAATTGATGTTTTTATTTTTTCCAATATACACCTTATATTCTTTGGTTTATTACCTTGCAGAAATGAGTAATCTTATCTACTGTATGTTTGTATATGAACCGTTGACAGGAGAGGTGTTCTATGATGCTCATGAAAATTTTCCTAGATCTTCTAGTGTTGATGATGAAAATATGTGCAGTACTGAGTTGTGCACAGAGGGTGAGTCTCCTTACCCTTCAAACATGGAAGATGGAACAAGTATTCTGCACACCCCACCTCCTCCTGATGGGCCCTACAAGAGAAGAAAAGTAATGATGTCTATCAGGGGCAGAGTTGAAGATGATACATATTCCGAAGGAACCCGGGGTGAAATTGTTGGCTCACCAACAGGTTCTCAGAGCTCGTATGCAAGTGATTGTGAGGAAACAATTGAAGATACGAAGTACAAGGATGTTTTGCTTTTGTTTCGGTTTAATGATCATGACCTTCCATTTAAGTTAAGGGAAATAATTACGTCTGATTTGCGATTGCTTAGATTATTGGAGTCTGGGCTTCCATCTTGGGTTATATTCCTTCAGTCGTACCCAGGGTTTTGCCATCTTTATCGGCCATGGATGTGCCCTCTAGCGAGAGGTTTATATGTTCTGATTTCGATTATCACAGTTCTCATTGGATTTTATGATTTATACAAAAATGTCCCAGTTCTCAAGGCAACTGCATCCCGATTGTTTGGGCCTCTTTTTGATTGGATAGAAACATGGGAGATGATATCAAGGATTAAATACTTGGGGACAATGTTATTTCTGCATAATTTTGAAAAGGCTGTTCAGTGGTCCTTGACAATTACGCGTACCACTCGATCATTTATTTCGGTTCTCACACAACCAATGGCAGGGCCATTTCTGGAGTTCCTTATTCCTCTTTCAAATATCTGTATACAAGTAGCAGAGACTTTCAGTTCAGTCATTTGGATTGTGATTGGGTCTTCTTGCAGTCTAGTGGAGAACATTGTTGAGATTGTTCTCTTGCCTATCTGGTTTATCCTATCAGTTTTTTGGAGTATTGGTAGGTTAATCATCTGAATTGGAATATGCATTCTGAGTATTTTTTAGTTGCAGCCATGCAATTTATGATTTCTGTTATATGACATTTTCTTCCTTTAAACCTTATACTGGAATGCAGCAATGTCCATTATATACCCTATATTCTGGATCCTGTGGGAAGCACTCTATGCTCCAATTCGCCTGGTTATTGGACTGGCTAGTCTTGTGACCTTCATCTGTACTGGCATATATGATATGGTTGGAGACATATGGCTGTTTGTGAGTAGCATATTCCAGTTTGCTTCAAATGCTGAGGCAACGGTTAGCACATATGAGGTTTCTATGTGGCGTTCGCTTTGGAATGATCTTTTCTCCCAGGTTGTGGAGCTTTTATGATTTTAATTTGGAAGTATAACATGGTAAATGATTTTCTTTTTCTTTTTTGTGCTCACTGCTTTATTTTTGTCCTCAGATTTTTCGTGCAGTTCGGAGTATTTTAAATGGTTTTGTAGCCTTCTTCACAGCCTGCAATAGACACCGTCTGAGGTATGTATTTTCTTTTATTTTTTATAACTTATATACTGGGTCTTCTGTTATTGTTTGTTTTTCCTTTTCTTCAATACATAGCTTCGATGCATGAAATATCTGTAACATATGGGTTTTATGTGTCAGCCAACTATTATATCAGGCGGGGAAGTTATCAAGTGAAGGTTAGAATGGAAATAATTGTGAACTTCTTGTTAATGAATTTTTCATGGTATCAGGATGATAAAGCATGTTCAAAATTTCAAGCTGTTATTTAATTCGCAATATACTACAAGCATGAGAATATTTGGAGTACAATGAGGACTGATCAATGATTGGTGAATTGTGTCAAATATGTTTTGTCCAACAAGTACTATCTTCAGTTTGCTGGGTTAAGTCTGAAGAAGGCAATTGTTTACTTCTTTGGCCATTCTACCTATTGCAATATTGGGACTTGGAAGGAGCAATGAACTGGAAATCACCACTGTTGGGTTCTAAGCTTTGCTCTTCATTAGGTGCACTACGAGAGCTACTGGAGGATGTTCATCATTATACCTTTAAAATGTTGTTGGCAGATTTTAGCACAAAAATTAGAACGCATGGAAACTTTCTTTCTTTTCTTTTTTGGGTCTGCATCCTCATGCATGCTTTCAGCGTTTTTGTTTTTAGCAATCCTGTGGTGGCTTTCTTTTTCATATGACCTCATTTATTTGTTAGATTGTTTTGTGAAAGTCTAGTAGCCAACTTACCCCTTTAAATCGAATTATTTGCAGCATTTATAATCATGCACAGGAGTTTATTCAAAGGCTATCTCCCCGGGGCAAGAGATTGTGCTCCCCAGTTTCTATTCATAGAGGACGGACTCGCGGCACTCAAAATATGGTGAGTTGTCCTATTATGATGTCATTTCGAGTAATGATTTCAGTACTTGCACAAAACTATAGCTGGTCTGAGCTCTGAGGCTGAGACACATTATTTATATTTCTCTTCTTCAATGTTAGTGAGGTACATTTAATGTTGATTCTGAATGTTGCAAGATATATTTTTTTAAGCTTGCATGTGTAGATAATTATTGTGATTCTACCAGGAAAGTAACTCTTCAAAAATTTACTGCTATTCCTAGATATTATAGTTAAAATTTAACTACTGCTACTGAAGGAAATTGATCAGAGAAGCAGAATTTTCACATTTCCTGGCATCCTGTTTCAATCAGTATTTCAACTTTGTATTACTGACTACGAACCTATGTATCATGATATTCGGGCATTCTGTACTTCGAAATTAGAAGCTGACATACATGATCTACCAACATAACTCATGAACGTAAACACATAACAAGAAAATATGTTTTGCTGGTGATGATTTCTTTGATCCCTCTTTCTCTCTCTCTCTCTCTTAAGGAGACTTGACAGGTATTTGAATTTGACCAACTTAGATATTGAAGATTTGTACTAAATGCTATGATCTTTTTGGCCAATAAATATTGTCTTTTGCCAGATGTGTTGAAAATACTAGTTCCACATCAGTTCAAATCACTTCGGCCCTTAAGTTGAGTCTACGTCGTCATCTGCTAAAAATGGTTTGCAACACACTTTCAAGGAGGAAAAAGAAAGCCATGCAGAGGATATTGTGTTCTTGATGTTAGATATTCTGATGTTACCGGACAACAGGGGCAAGTTTTACTCACACAAAAGTGCATTATTTTTCTCTTACACATTTCTTCATTTTGCTTTTTGCAGTCAGAAGCTGAGAGAGGAAGCCAACGTCATACTGGGTCTCGGAAACAAAGATGACTCCTCTTTGAATGCAAGAGAGCTATTTTCTGTGGCACATAACTTCAGTAAGCATAAGAAAGTCTTAACCGAACACTAACCCGGAGGAAACCTTTCTGGGTGTTATTTGCGGAATACACAATTTGCACTGGATCAAAACCCTGAGGAATCTGATTTAACCCATAGGAAGTTTTTTTTTTTTTTTATACTTTTTGTTTACAGATGTGTATTCTTTATCTTGCTGTTTTTTGTTCTTCCTTTTAGAGGTTTTTTCTCTACTTGTATTCATTTATTATTTTTCCCATTTTGATCCATTGTATCTATATGTATTAAGATGTAAATTAGTGGATGTACAAAGGTTTCCAGTGTTAATAATTTGCATGTAGCAATTTTGCCAACATTTGATGAAAAACTTTTTAAAGTGGTCTATATTGGGAATGTGAAATGTTGTGTCTCATTAGAGTTCTGCTGCTAATGGCTTCAACTACATAATTTGCTCAAGCTTTTGATGACCTGTAGCCTCATGGCATTACAAACAACACAATGACATCCAATGGCAACGGAGAATTTACCAATTTAAAGTTGTAATGTCTCACTACAAACTAAGAAAGTTAGCTGCTGCTAAGCTCTGAAGGAGAAAAAGGGGGGGTAGTTTACAAAAGAAAATTAGCAGAAAAATGTTTGTTACTATTCTTAGGATCCAGGAATTCCTAAATCTTGCAGAAAAGAACTAACTATGGGAGGAGTGAGGAGGATATTCAAAAAGGGGAGCCGCGGGTTCCTTGTAGGAAAGGTCATCGTTTAGTATGGCATTAAAGAAAACTTGTTATGGTTATGTTGCTACTAGAAAAAGAAGGGTGGGGCTTTAGGCGGCCGGCCGCCCGAATAAAATCAATTCAAATCGAATTCTCGGATAACTCACCCTTTAGTTGAAGTCCATAAACTTCGGTACTTAACTTTTATTGACCAGACCCATAATTGTGATCTTATTTTTACCAAATTGGGGCATTGATTAAATATTAGCCAGTAATTGTTTACCTATTTTTTTGATCAAATACGATGCTTATCTGGTATGGTAGGTGGCATTGCACGGGTATTTTTGAAATAGATTTTAACGGCAGGGGTTATATGTCACATGGAACCAAACCTCAAGGAACACAGTGCATTTTTGGGTTTGTATGATTTACTAATAAATTTCAAGGAGTTTAAATATAATGTATTTTATACTAACGTCCGACCGGGTGGGTTATCCCCTTCTCGCCCAACTCATTTTACTCTCTCCCACACACTATTTTATAATTTTTTTTATAAGTAAATAAAAATATTGTAGGAATTATTAGATCATAACGATTTGATGGTTAAGAAAATTTAAATAATCGGTAGTTAGGAGTCCAAGGGTAATTAATTAGGCTAGCTATTGAAGGCATTTGATAAAATTCAAAATTCTTAAAAATTAGAAAAGTGAGGGAAAATTTCTTAAACCATCTATCTAATAAATTGATTATTTTGTATATATAATAGGGTTAATCGCAAATAACATTCCGAAAGATCGTTTGAATCTCAATTGATACCCTAAAAGATATAAATTTGTATCAATGGCGCACCTGAAGCTAACAACAGTTAGTTTGCCGTCTAAAATTAGTTGGATAAATTACACCAAGACCCCCTCAAATTTATCACTTAATCATTTAAACCCTCTTATATTTAGAATATTACTCATATACCTTCTGAAGTTTGTGCATGTGTAATACATAACCCCTTGTTGTTGAGATATATTAAAAAAACATAATTTCATCCTAAAAAAAAAATTATAATTTTCATACTACATTTTATTTTGTGGGCCTATTATATTCTAAATTTCAAAATCAAGTTTATCATTTGAATACCCAGTATAATGCAGGTATTTATATAGTCTTCTTTATATCCAATGCAATACATCACTTAAACATAATTTTTTGGATGCCCAATTATGAGAACATTTTGAGTCATTATTTGAATTCTCAAGGGGTGTAGGTATAATATTTTAAATGTGAGGGATTTAGTTGATTAAGTGACAAACATGAGGACGTATAGATTTAATTTATTCATTTAGTTTTAGACAGCAAATTAACGACTGTTAACTTCAAGTGCACATTGATATAGATTTCTATCTTTGAGGATACAAATTAAAATTTTTTATTTTTAAGTGTACAAATTGAGATTCGATATAATAATATAGATAGATAGATTGGAAAAATCGAAATGCCAAATTGTAATAAGATTTATAAGTTCATTTTGTCAATGAGTCGTATCCAAATAATGGATAATTCGATTTGAATATATATTTTTTTTATTGTCAAACAATCCCCACCCAACCGATGAACAACTCTAAGTATATATCTATTTTTTTTTTAAGGGTCATTATATAAACAAGGACATATCTATCAAATAATTCTAATCACATGCACTTCAATCTCACTCTCTTTTAGTGGTAAAGTTTGAACTTATAAGGGTTGATTTTATGATGAGTTATACAGAATTTGTGGGATCTTCGCTGAAAATTGATTTGTTTCGTAATTAATTATTCAATTGTATGATTTAATTTCGTCTCGAGCTCTTCGCAAATTTGTTACGACTAACAAGTATTTAAATTTGACAGTCAAGTTTAAATTCAGTTAATCACAACAGATTAATTAGTTAGACTTCTTTTTTACACGGATCATACTAAATTTAATTTTATGCGATCATTTATGATTTATGTACAAAATAAAATTGAAATTGGATGGAGTATAGATAATACTTTTTTTTTGAAATGACATGATTTAAACATGAGATCATGAAGTTAGGTTTTGTTGTGAAAGCAAATTAGCCTCACCGAAAAGCCGTAAAAGCTACAGTTTCAATTGCAGCTTCTTCGGTGTTGACACTCTCTCTCTCAGAAAAGAAGTGTTCAAAGTTGAAGTCCACGAAAGTGTATAGGAAAATAAGGCTTTTCTTCCCCCACCCCAAAACACACTTCATGTCTCTTTCGTTCTAGAGGTCATAACTAAACAATTTCAATTTGGTTCATATATAATGATTTAGTAATGCATGTGAGTTGTAGGTGGGTCCATCTGAATTACAACAAGTAAAATGACACTTGAACCTAACTTGAGGATTTCATCATCCGGACAAAGCACCCAGACCAGATGCAATGGGAGAAACCTTCTTCCAAAGGTATAGGGATGGAGTGGATAAGGTATTGAGAATAAATTCTTCATAATTTGACCCCAAAAATTGTCAAGATTTAAACTCGAGACGTTTAAATTTATAACTCGTTCATATTATTACTTGAGCTTCCCTTTTAGGTTAAACTGGCATGATCAATAATTGATGTACACAATTTTTATTGAACTTCCAAGTGAGAAGAAAGAGAAGGATAGGAAAGTGGGAAGAGATTAGATTAGATAAATTTAAGTGGGGTTAAAAATAGTTAAGAGGAAAAGTTACACGTGATTAAATACAAAAAAAAAAGTTTCAGGGAAGCATCAATGGGAAAATTGAGAGGGGCAAGTATTGGAGTTGGGTTCTTGAAGTTGAAGATAACTGTAATTGTGTCTGGGAAGTTTTAGCAGGGAAGAGGACAAAAGTGAGGCACCATAACTGAGAAAATAATGACAGGAGAGATAGAGAGGTGTGAAGCCTTACAGCTTGTTTATGCAGTTGCTTTAAAGGGATATCACAGGGAAATATGACCAGAAAAAGTCTCACACTCTCTCTTTTTGCAGCATAAAATGCATTGTGGTAGAAGTGTACCAAACAAGGAGGAGAGGGGGAGAGAGAGAGCATGTGAAATTGTGAAGCTGTGGAGGAGAAATGGACCATAAAGAACATGAGTAGGACCCTCCATTACCCCCTACAATCCAAGCTAATTCACAAACTCTCTCTAATAATCTTCAACTTTCTAAAACTGCAGGAAAGACGATGACCCACCATTATCTATATATATATATATAATATAATCTAGTACAACTTTCCCATGTGTTGTCGCTCTCTTGCTTGGGACCCTCAAAAGCTACCCCATTCTTTCATGGTGTGTACCCCCTTCTTCCCTACATCTACGCCGCTGCTTCCTCCCCAATTAACTATTACTTTTTAGCAGATTCGCACCAAGATGTTTCAGTACCAACAATCTTGACCGTCCATTTTTGGGTCCATTCCCATCCACCATCCCCCTCCCCCTCATCTTAATAAGGGGCTAATTCAATATTAAAACACTTTCTACAAAGTATCAATTCCCATTTATTTGTTTTTTTTTTAACGGTAAGAGTGTTCGAGTCAATTAACACACACCTCGACTAATCCCTTTTTCGGTCCGATAAAAAACAAAACAGGTCATCCATGCTAAAATTAGGGTATTCATGAAGAATAAATTCCTCATGACCTGACCCTAAAAAATTGTCAAGATCAGACTTAAGAAATCTATGTTTACCGCTCGTTCCTGTTATCACTTAAGCTACCGAACAGGTTCAGTTCCCATCTATTTGCTAGAATGGCAGGTGAAGAAATAAAAGAAAGAACCTTAGCCCTAGAGGTTGAGCTTCCCGTGGATGAGTGCTATATGCCCATCCTCAGAATTCACCAAACAAGTAGAACAAACAAATATTCGTAGCCATGTATTCACATAGTTTAACCACAATACGAATCAAATGCAAGTTCAGAAGGCACGCCAAATCAAATACACACTTTCTAATTAGTAACTTGGCCATTACAAATAAAACAATTATCAAAACAAAATTAAATAAAATGAGAGAGACAGAGAGAGGACAAAATAATCGTAAATGGTGCATAGAGTCAACCATTTTACGATTATTAAAAAGAAAAAGAAAACGAGGATACTCGCTAAAAACCGCATCCATGCCTGTGTAATATGATTTTGAAATAATTATTTTTTTTTTTAATAATGATTCTATAGTATAAGGTAAAATTTTTACCGTGTGTGTGTCTTTGCTGTGCAGGAAAGTAGTTTCCGCTTCAGACAGTTAGAAAAATCCAAACAAACTCCTGCATAAAAACCAAAACAACAACAATGTCAGGACAAATAAAAATACAAAAGACTGAACACACAACATGTTATACATTCAATGTCTTGATCTATCAATGGTATACCTACCAAAGAGGCATCCATTAAGTTCACGAGCTAGCAATCCCATCCATACCAAGAAAAGAGGATGAACTACCAGTAGT